CCTACACACACACACACACACACACACACACACACACACACAAGCACATGCTTACATACTCCGGTGAACATCTGAATGAAAATGCTGTTTCCTCTGCAGTCTCCCTGCAGCAACCTCTTGCATGAAGCCTGACACTCATAAACGTGCTTCTGGAAGTTTCTGAAGTAAACGCACCCTGAACCCTGGTTCCTCAAAGTGGGAGAAAACAGGAGAGCGATAGGAAGCCCCACATTGGCCTCAAATGCTCCCGTGTTCTGCCAATCCAACTCCACTGGTCCAGGATTCCGGGAGAAGGGGAGCCATTAAGTTGTGCCTTCAACCGCCAATAAGCCTGAAACCGGATCACCTCAATCCATTCTTCAACATTTTTATGAGCCCAAGAATGTCTATCACTGAGAGCCTGTGTATCCCCAGTTCCCACAGTGAGAGCTGGAGATCTCCGCGCAAAGCACTTCCCTCAGGGTGTCAGAATAGGCTGTTCTGAACTGGGCACTCTGACCATGCACCACGTCCATTAGAGGTGACTAGCGGTGACGTTGTGCACTGGTGCACAGTGGAAACATACTCGCACTCCGGGCTGTTGCAGGTATTGCCCGGTGATCAAGCGAGATGCTTGTCTGAAAGGAAGCCAGGTTATTGGGGTGAAAGGAGCATGGTTTGCAGCAGTAACACCTTGGCCATATCCCATGAAGCAGGGCTAGAACTCGCGAGCTCAGGAAATGACACCCTCACCTCTCATCATCCACACCTCATTGCATACCACAGCCCCCTTCTCTTTGACACCTAAGGCTGTTCCTCGATGTGTGTGTCCCTCCCTCCTTCAGCAGGCAGCCATCACATCCCAAGGCTGTGTCCAACACACACCGTATAAATAAGCACGCCTTGGTCCCAGCCTCTCCCAAGAAAGAGGAACACAAGACTGTACACTTGCCATTGACAACCGACTGGTAGTGAGTAGATACATAATTACACAAGGAAAGTTGATTTCCTGGTAGAGGGTTGTAATCAAGGAGGGCTTTGCAGTAGAGACAACGTCTGCAATGGGTCTTGGAGGGCAAACAGGAGCTCACCAGGGGTTGAAGAAGGAATGGAAGGGCCAAGATAGAACAGGACACACTTGTGGAGACACCCAGAATAGAGGATATCTAGATGGAGGAGCAGACACAGGGTGGGGGGCGGTGAGGGGCAGGGGGTATGCACAACCTGCAGCTCTGGAGGCAGTTGAAGTTGGACCTTAAAGGTGGCGGGTGGGGGCACTGCTTTCCCTAGCTCCCTAGTGGTATCCTCTGTGCCCACAGATGAGCAGCCCCATAAAGAGCCACCAGCCCTGGGTGGCGGTGTCCGAGACCTGAGAGACAGCTCAACCAGCGTTGGTTACCCTTGGGGGCAGGTTTGGCAGCCCCACACCGTGGGCTCCGGGAGCAGGCAGAAGCAGAGGTGTGGGCGGGCTGTGGAGGAAGTCAGGACCCTCTCTGGATTGTGACATCTCATCAAATACAAGGAATAAGGACTTGCCTGGGATTCCCTCCAGAGACGCCATCCCAACACGCCACTCCAGAGGAGCAACCTGCTAGAGAACCCAAGCCATTGGGTTCAAGTCCAGGCAACCTCCTGTGGGTTCCCAGGTAGCCACAGAGGGGTCATTGAAACTTAAAACCCCTGGTGGTACTCATCTGGGAGCAGACTGGGGTGGAACACACGCCCACAGGAGGCTCAAGGGATGGGGTGGAAATGGTTCAAGGACTTGACCTTAGGCAGACAGAAGGGGGTCATTAGTGAGCCTGGGTAGGTCAATGGTAGAATTCTCACCTTCCACTAGGAAGCCCAGGGTCAATGTTGCCCAACGCCAGGCAAGACCACCCCCCACCGGTCGGTGGAGGTGTGCATGTTCCCGTGCTGCTGAGTACGTTTCAGTAGAACTTCCAGAGTAAGATGGACCAGAAAGAAAGGCCTGGTGACTGACACTCCGAACACCAGCAGTGGATGCCCCGCAGACTACAATGATCAGATCCACGGCTGACTGTGCGGATGACATTGCGTTCTGCTGGGCAGGAGTTTTTTTTCATAGCGGCTGACAGAAACAGGAGTAAGAACCCTGCAGCAGGGCCCGGATCAGCCCCATATCTAAGCAGAATGCCCCTCCCTGAGGGTTGGACGAATGAAGACCAAGTGGGAGGGGAGCATTGGCATTGAAACACCGCAGCATTCCACTTACCCGGCATCTGACACCTTGCAGCTTTTGACAAAATGCACGCATGCTTTCTTCTTGATGTTTTTCAGAATCCATGAGCTGGGATTTTCTTGCTGGGGGTTGAAAGGGCACTCAGAGACCATCACCCTTCGAAACCATGTGTATTTCCAAGACACAAGGCCCGCCTTGCTGAGCACCGGCCCCCTGACACACGGGAACCAGGTTTCCAAGTAGAGAAGTGAGATCTAGGTGCTTGGGCCCACACTGAAGATTAAGACCACCCTCCCCCCCAAAGGGGCTCTCAGGGATGCAGTAGGCAATCACTTTTCCCTCAGCCCAATCTGATGTGGCCTGCCATTGACAAGGTACATGCCGAGGTCATGCCCTCGGGAAATAGCATGGTGGCCAAGGGGTTGGGATCCCTGACTTTCCTCCGGGTGGGAAGCAGGTGGAAGTTTCCCTAGCCGTTAAGCGTAAGGTGCGACAACCTACTGGGTGACTGTGTCAGCTGCTCACCCAATCTAACCCGAGGTGCTTCCGAAGAAAGGGCTGGCAATCTGTCTGTTTATAAACCAGCCATTGTAAGCTCTAGGCAGCACAGGGCTGCTCAGGCGTCCATGGGGTCACCGTGGGCTGGGGGTTCACCCAAGGGCAACGAGCTTGATTGGGCCCGTCTGCCTACCTCAGCAGGCACCTGAGATGCAATGAGCTCCCGCGATCCATTTTTAGGATGGGCCTGGGACTTTGGTGTCCTGTTCACCAGCACTGCCCCAGGCCAAGTCACAAAACAGTGATGCCATCTGGGGAGGGGGCGATGACTCCGTGAGGCCAGCCCAAGGTCTCAGTGTTTGGCCAGTGCCTTCCTAATCAGCCAGAGGCTGTGTGAGGCTGGCGTAAACCCCACCAGGGACCAGATCTATCTGGCCATGAGTCTCTGTGACTCACTGCTCCTGAATGGCATATCTGGACTGGACCCTCTGGTTCAGCAGACTCAGCCCAGATGTGACCCCTGTCCTCTGAGTGGTCCCTGATGGTCCCAGAGAGGCTCTGGCTGACCTTGACCCTCTGCTATGCCTGTAGGTGGACACAGTTGGCCGGCCAACTGGAGACCTACCTTTTCACTGGTACCAAAGGCAGCCTGCGACCTCCGGCTCTTGAGACTGCTATGGCTGCGTCGGAGGTTGGGGCCCATTCCCAGATCGGCTGTCCTTCTAGGCTGTACCCCCAAACCTTCCTCCTGCCCAGAGCCCAGCCTCCTCCTCATGGCTGAAGATTCCATTCTGGCTGCCCCAGCTCCTGTCGGGCGCTGCCTCCACCGTCAGTCAGTCTGTCCTCTAGCTGGCTGAGCGCAGGGTCCTAGAAACACGGCGTGATGGGGTGGCTGGAATCGAGCAGAAGACAGGTAAGGACAGTATCCTTGGCCACAGCCCTCCCTGTCTCCCATTTGTTTGTTTGTTTTTAATTTGTTTTTTCTGTCTCCCATTTGTAACCACACTTGCTCTTCCTGGTGATAGGAAAGTAAGGGGGATGGGGGGCAGGTCCTTGCATTGCCTGCAGGCTACTATCTCTGGCAGACTGTCCTGGGAGTCCCAGGCTAGGCAGATGATGCCCACCCAGCCTCGGGCCGTCCCAGCACATGGCGTGGGGAGGACTCAAGGGTCAAGTTGTGACCGGTTCATCGCACACTGACTAGGGCACAAGCCAGTTCGATGGAGCACTATGTCCTGCACCTGCATTGCCAGCACCATGCTAACCCCATAGGCACTTCATGCTGCCAGGCAGTGAGGGCATGATACAGGAAGGACAGATGGTCATCCCAATTCACAAAGAGGGAACAGACTTGCAACAGGCAGTCCCTGAGTTAGTGGAGTACACCCATCTCCGGGGGGTTTGCACCCCACAGCTGAGGGGTCCCTGATTTACCAAGACACATGGGGGCACACAGGGTCACTTAGCACTGCCCCAAAGGGCCACCCTGGCCAAAGCTTCTTGGCACCCCACACTATGAGAACCATCCTGCTACCCATCTTCTCTCAGGGCCTGCCTGTCCAGCCTAATGTCACCCCTCTAAAGCAGCACTGTGCCCTCCCCCAACCCAGGCTGAACTGTGGTTTTAAACCACACCTCGCGTGGGGGCTCACCCTTGCTCCGCTTCCTTTTCCTGTTTCTGCCTTCCCAGGGAGGGGAGGGCACAGATCAAAGAGTCACAAAGCCACCCCCTCCATGCTGTGGCAGCAGGCTTCCCCCTTCTCCTTCGGGCTGGCACCGGAATGACCTCTGTGCCCTTCCCTGACCTCTGTGCCCTTCCCTCCTCCCTAAACCAGGCACCATTCAAATGCTCCACCAGCCCCTCTTGGCTGGCCTCACCTCAGAACTCTCTGGCCCAGAAGCAGGCCCTGATCTGCGTCCACACAGTCCCCCACACCAAGGGGAGGGAGAGGCTGGCCCAACCTACAGACCCCAGCCTCACTACAGCTTCTCCTATGGCCTGCCCTTGCGTCCTGGGTGCTGTGACAGGGCCTTGAACAATACACATTGGGATTTCCCTGCAAAGGACTCTGGGAGAGAACAAGAATGCCTTATGGGGCAGTGTCTGGGCCATGGGAAAACACCGAACACCAGACTTGGCTAGTATCAGGCAGAACCCATTCACAGATACAGAAACAGCCGTACATGTTATGATGAGACATGCCTTTTCCTCGGGCCCTTACCCAGATCTGTGCACGCAGCACTAAATGTATAAGCCCCATCCCTGCACTGCCCTGTGGGGGCCTGTACGTGATGACTCTCACTGCTAGGGGAAACCCAGTGCAGACCTCTGTGCCTAAATTCTCTCAAGAAGCCTTGTCTAATCAACCTGGGACCACTGAGACCACTGACTCTCAATGACCACTGAGAGACTGCCCGGGAGATTCGCAGCTTCTCCAATAAGACAGGCGTCCATACCCAGTGCCCACCCCACCCAGAGCCCCTCTCCTCTGCCCTGGTTGGTCTCCACTCACTGCCCAGGCTCTGCCCTGCCAGCCTCCTGTGGGCTAGACCCACACACGTCAGGCCCAGTGTCCCTCAACAAGGAGGGCAACCTCAGGTCACTGTAAGTGGGAAACCATGGATCGGGAGTCAAAGACCCCAGCTCCCTTTTCAAAGTCACAACTGTAGGGAGTTACAAACGCACTCAAGTCTCCCCTGCACCCTCAGCAACATGCCAGGGAGCCCCACTCACCCACTCCCAGGGCCCCCACTCTCCCAAGCCCCGCAGGAAAGGCAAATCGCTTCACCTGCTGCTGGTATTCAAGCCACAGCTACTGCCTCCGCGTCTCCCCACACTCGCTCACTTCTCCAGATTCACAGAGATAACAACAAAGTGCTCCCACAGCCCACAAAGTGGGTTTCAGCCAGCATTATACCAGCGCTCACTCCTGGAGAAGACGAGCCTGCTAAATGGGGTAGATCCTACGTTCGCAAAGACTTTTCCCCTGGCTCCGATGCGGTTTTCACTGACGAGGTCACAGTGCAGGAAGCTGGATTTGAAAAGAGGCCTGATTTTCCTCATTTTACCAATGGGAAAAACAAGTGCTGACCCACCCACAAGCCCTGCCTGGAGCCTCACAACGCCCCCACTTTCCTCCCTGGAGGCTGCATCCTCTTGTTCCCCTACTGAAGGCGAGTATGATGGGGGGACTGTGTCCCCCAGACAATCTGTTGCAACCCCCATGTGAACATGGCCTTGTTTGGAAACGGAGCGTTTGTGAATGCGATTCGCTCAATTCACATAGGGCCATGCTGCATGGAGCAGAGTGACCCCTAGGCCTGACGGGTCGGTTACAGGAGCCCTGGTGGGAAGCGGGTTCCGAACCCACCAGTCTGGCCTTGGGAGAAAGATGAGACGTTCTCTCCGTACAGATCTCTGGTCTCGGAAACCCCAGGGGACAGGTCTCCTCTGTCCTATAGGGTCACTGTGAGTTAGCATTGACCCGGTGGCCGTGGCCTTAGTTAGATGGAGACCAGAGAAGATGGACATGTGGAGGCAGAGGTGGAAGGTGGAGTTTGGCTGTCACGAGCCAAGGGCACCTGGGCCCACCCGAAGCCAGAAGAGGCAAGGACGGAGGTTTGCATAGAACCTTTGAAGAGAGTGTGTTTCTGCTGAGCCTGACACCATGACTATGGACTGCCGGCTTCAGAACTGAGAGGCCGTGCAACGAGAGATGTGGGGTGTTCCAAGCCTGCAGCTTGTGGTATTTTGTTAGGACAGCGCTAGCGAACCCATACAGTCTATGACGTGGGTGGCTGTTTGCAGGGCAGCAGGGAGAACCGATCCCAACTCTCACTTCCCTCCCTCGCTGTGAGTCACCCTCCAGTACCCCTGTCATACCTGGATGGCCAGGTCACTCATCGTTCTTCAGTACGCAGTCACTGGGTGCCCATGCCTACTCCTCTGGACTGGTGAGGGCCAGTCGGCAGGACCGGAGAACAGTCCTGGCCCTGCCCTTACCGTGCCTCCATGGCCAGCCCTCCCATAGCCACTCAGCTCGGGCTTGGGGCAGAGCAATCCAGCCAAACTCACAGCTCAGAAAAGTGCCCCCACCCCAACCCTGCCCCTGCCCCTCACTGCTCAGCACCTCGCTTCCAGTCACATTCACTCCCAGTCCACCTCACGCTGCTGGGTGTGTGTATGTGTGTGTGTGTGTGTGTGTGTGTGTGTGTGTGTCTCAGACCCCTCACACAGAGGTGCCAGTGCCGGCGCTAACATCACAGGTGGGACCTCACGGAACCACATGGTCCCAACATCAGGTCCCAACAGAACGAATGCCAGCCCTCGGGCCAGGGCCTGCCTTGGTACCAGACCAGGACATCCAACATGGGATGGCACAAAGATACGCCCAACGACCTCACTATAAGCAACTGAGGAGGGCTCTCCCCCTGCTCAACACTCCCCTTAGTGGACTTAGGGGACTGTTTTCAAACTCCAGTTGCAAAGAGACTTCATTTTCAGAAAAAAATATTCAGGAACATGGCCCACTCGCCCCCACTGAGTCAGACGCTGCTGTGGGACCCAGCCAAGAGCCTGGTTTTAGACACTGTAAATCCCACTGCATGGGGAGCAGGGCTGGCTCAGCCCTCTGCCTCCTCTACCTCCCCTGCAGAAGTGAGTACCTTCGTAAAGCCCAGAGCGCCCTGAAACCCAGGCTGACAAAGCCCCCAATTCCTCCATCCAGCCTTCGGGGGGGGGGCGGGGGGTGTCATATGGTCATTCCGATGCTCCATTCACACCTCACCTGAGAGCAAGCTTTGGCCTTCCAGGTAGACAGCTAGAATTCTCAGTAAGCAACTGGCAGACGGGTGTGTGGTAAGAAAGTTCTGGAAGTGATGCTTAATGCTTGAGGGAAGGTGGGTAGATGATCGTGACAGAGTGAATTTGACAGCACCCACCCTGGATACCCAGTCACATGAAATGCATGTCCATGAGGGGAATTTGGCACGGGGCACCTGCTGTGTGTGACAGAGGGGGCAAGGGGCAGGCCTCATGTGGAGGAGTGTCCAAATCAAAGCTGGCTGATTCTGGAGAGGAGAGGGTGCTGCTGGGTTCCCTGAAAGGGGAGCCCAGGTGAAGGGAGGAAAGCCACCTTTGCCCTCAGGTTAGTACAGAGCAGAGCTCAGCCCCCAGAGTGCCCTCCATCAGGCGAGGGCAGGTGGAAAGACAGCCCACACACACAAGAAGAGAAACCAAGGTCAAGTAGAAGGGAGCTCTGAGCACTACATCCACAGCTCACAAAGCGCGCCCCGAGGCACAGTTCCAGGGGTCCTAACTGCAAGCCACCTACCTACCACCCCCAGCCCTAAAGTTTCCCCAAGATACACAGGAGGCAGGTGACTGGGAGATTGGGTGCCCTCTGCTCCCGTTCTCATGCTCAGCCCTCCCCAAGGTGTCCCAAAGACCTCCAAACACTGAGGTGAGCGTGCTCTCTGGGGGGGGCTATTAAGAGCTTTCGCGGGTGAGGGGTGGACAGAGATGCAGTCACAGACGTGGACCCTGTGTCTGCGCTCGGAGGGTCCAGAACGCCCCGCCCCCTCCCACCCTCCGCCGGGACAGGGTCGCAAGAAGCGAGCTCCCCCCACCCCCCGCGACTGCAGACTGCTCTGCGCCCCGGCCTGCAGGATGCACCTCTCCTCAGGATCTGCCCGCATCCCATGCCCAGCCTCCTGCCCGCCCTCTGCCCGCGCTCCTGG